ATATATATATATATATATATATATATATATATATATATATATATATAGATTTATGGAAAAATATTATTAGGTACCTCGTAGAAAGCGTCAATTAAATGAAACATTTTTAAATTGCCTCTCTATACAAACAGAACATAACATTCACTTTGAAATTAACCGACCATTGAGCTAGAAAAAATACTGTAAATATTAACAAACCGAATATCAAGCCTTCTCACACGTCGTGGATGTACACGGAATGTGTACATTACGCACATTCCTCTACGTAATGTAAATAGAAAACAAATACAAAAGATAAACACTGTTGTTTTTCTTTTACGGAACGGTGGCGCAATAGCGTATTCATAAAATTAAAAATAGGACGCGATAATAGCATCGAAATCTCATCCGTGATTCATAAATCCACAGATCCATAATCCGCGCGCATCCATAAATTAAGCCGTCCATAAAGTATCCATTTAATCCAGCATTAAATCGAGTTTGCTTGCCCGTAATGCTCGCGAGGGCGATCGAGCTAGAAAAGTCGACCCGGTCGAATAGTTGGGTCCACATACGCGTCGCTGGGCCCAAGCCAGTCGGGTCTACATGCATGCTGTAATAATACGGGGTCGGTGTTGGTGGAGGACCTGCCGCATTGTGCAGCTGCATTCCACGATGCCACGTTTCTTCGACTCTATCTTCCTCCCGCCCCCTCCTTCCGCTTTCTCCGATCGTGCGTTCCCCATATCTTAATTCTCCGCAGCACATTCGACCTAAGGCGAGGTTTCACGACTATTGTAACGATAAGTCGCCTGTAGATGTTGACTTAGCGACTTCGAACTAATATTTGTTTTAGAGTCCGCGAGGCCTTTTCCGACTTGTTCGGTGTGGGGACGATATAAAAATTACTATAAAATTAATTCGACGGTCTTATGCATTTTGTGTGACACTTTATTCTTTAATTAAATTATTAATTTGAATCGTAAATTATTTGCTAATTGATATGAACATTTCATAAGAGACTTGAAAGGCATTAACTTTCAGTAAAACCGCACAAAGTAAATTTTTTACCGCACTCCGTAATAGAAAAAACGAGAAAAATTGTATAAAGACCCGATTGGTTTCCGTGCTTTTTGTTTACGTACTTGCGATTGTCGAGAATAGTTTTAGAGAAGAAGGAAATACGTAATCGCGATAGAGTGACTCATCCCTTAGAAGGCGAAGCGAGGGTGCTGAAGGAGCTGAAGGGGGGAACGGTCGATGAAAAGCACGTGGCCCTCCGATGAGATCGCTTAGCTAATTCGGAACTTCGGTCGCGCCCGCGTTGAAATCGATTCCAAACTTTTGTGTTCGATACGACAGTCTCCATAGGAAATTGATGCGTAATGTTCCTTTTTCTGTGACTTTGGCATTTTAATTATGTCAAGTTTTTTCTTTTTCCGAAAGACAGATTGTGCACATTAATTCAAATTTTTTCTTCGAGCAAGCAAGTCATTCTACTAAAATGCTGATAAAAAATTTGTCGTTTTTTGACACAATTCATTTCGCGATTGTCAAATGAAAGAAAAAGATATATATTTGCATAATAGATATACGATTTTTCAAGATCAGTTCGATATACATAACAA